TTCCAACACTTTCAATTATGGTCCGAGATATCCGGGCTATTCAAGCATCATCAGTAGCATCGGAGAGTGCTTTTAGCGCGGCAAGATTTCAAATTGGAGATCATAGACATTCATTAGCGGAGGACAGTCTAGAGATTTCCGTATTATTCAGAGATTGGATTAATACAGAAAGAAGAAATCTTAGTTTTGAAAAATTAACCACTAGGGAAGAAGAAGAATACAATGAGATACTAACCACTGGGAGCGATGACGACATGGAGCTCATGGAACATCAATCAACATTGCCAATTCCAGCAGAATGTCCGAGAGATATTATGGATAAGTTACAAAGAAGCTATATAGGAGCTTATAAATATTAGTATGATAATTTGTAATTGGCTACTAAGAGGCCTAGTTCAAACAGAACCCTTCCTAGAAGGTGACTGCGTAGATTAGGTGCTCTTCAAAAGAATTATATTTGTATTTGAGATTTGAAAGTTCTATTAATAAAATAAAAGGCTCTAAGCGTTGAATTTTATTTATGAATTGTCTTAGTTACTTAATAGTTAATACTTTGAAATTATATTAAATAAGTTATAACTCTATTATAAATTTATAATTACTAGAATATTTCATTACAAGTCTTTTGTTTTAATATTTTATAATTCTTTACTTAGTTTTCTAATTTTTATTTTAACATAGTAACATTTAAGTTTATTAAATAAGTCAAAAATCTAGCCGTTGCAAACTTTAAAAACATAGTAAATTTCAAAAACTAGACGTTTTTTTATAAAAAAAATACACTTAAGGCTCACAAACCCGTCCCGTTCCGTCCCGTCTCATCCCGTCCCATCCCGTTTGTTAGCGGGACGGGATGGGACGAACGTTTCGTCCCGTTTGTCCCATCCCGTTTCGTCCCGTCCCGCCTCCATCCCGCCTAAATGTCGTCCCGTCCCGTTAATTTGGTCTCGTCCCGTCTCATTGGACAGCCATACTGATGAGTACCCAGCCAAATGATTATAAAAGGAGAAAGAATAAAATATAATTATACCATCAATAAGAGGCTTTTACATAATATACCCTAAAATATGAAGTTACATCCTATATCCATCTAATAATTACATTGAATATTAATTTAATAAAAACATATAAAAAAGACGTAAAATAGTAGGATTCAAATTCCCAAAACTTACCAATTTTGTGGAAACTATCAAGAAATCTTGATGAGATATGATAATATCACAACTATATAATATTCCTCCCAAACTAGTCACTTATTTGGTTAATTTAAGTGATATAATTGTAATCCTAGTTCCTTCTACTCTTGTTATGTATAACAATGAAGTTATATGACTTTTTCATTGGAGATTAACAAAAAATAACACATTAAAATTTTATCGTTGTAGAGCTTTTTTTTCTATTTAAGTGGCCATAGAATATTTATTATTTCCTTGACAGCACAGTGAATGGATTAGATGGTAATTCGACTTATTCTTCAAATCCTACAAACACGTTTCAAGATTGATTTTATTTAATAAATTAAATTTAAACACAATTTCTTTTTATCAATTTAATGCCTTGGCAGTATTAATATTTTTTGTTAATTTTAATATAATAAGTAGTCAAATTAACATTTTAAATTCAATTCATAATCACATTATGTAACAAATAATACAAAATAGTTGAATATAATTCTTCTTACGCGGACCGCTAGTACATGGTTGGAAGAATAGTCCATCAGTTGGAACTTGGAAATATAAAACATTCTTTTGCCAGCCTTTTTTCTTTTCTTTAAATTCTCATGGGGTTCAAATTAATGTCCTATATCCCTTAAAAAACAATATCGTATCTTTAGCTCATTTATTTATTTCTAATACTTTTGGTAAACAACACAATATGTAATTTGTTTTCACTTGTTTCCTTCATTTGCTTATTTTTATTATAATATGTTGTAGAGCGAAGATTATTTTTTTTCTTGATTTCTCGCCTGGTGTTCAGTACCTATATCATGCAGTTTTGACTAATTCCTATTTGCGCCGCTAAAAAGCCATTAAATAAAAAATATTCTATTAGAGCTATTTTCATTTTTAAAGTTCGAACACAAGATATGTGGCTAAAATCAGAGAATTACTAGGGATCGTGTGGTACAATGGTGCGATAAATTATAATATCTCATGGGGTGAAATATTTCATGGGATTAGCTAATCACTTCATTTTTATGTAAAATTTATTCCAAGATCAACTAATAATACATAAAATCAAACACAAGAAAATACAATCACCAATTTTATCCTAAAATTATTATCTTTATTCCTTGTTCCAAGCGACCCCTTACTTTAGTAACAACAGTCTGAAAACTGCTAAATAGTCATTGGTTATCTTAGAATCAAAGTAGTAAAACTTGTGTGTAGTCCCAAGACACATACTTTAAAAAAAATTGATTTACAAAAGCAACACTTAACCAAACAAACAGTCAGTTGGAGTATATGACGCCCATTTAATTATTAAATAAATAAATTTTCTCGAGCTCAGAAATTTATATATTGTTAGTCCCTATAAATTTAGAAGATTCCTTTAAACATAAAAGTTTAAAAAAACAGATAAATAAATATATGAAAAGAAAGGGCAAAAAGAAGACAGGTAAAGTGAGCAGCTAAAAAGGAGGAGTCGGGTCAAACCAGATTGAGTGGGTGGGTCATGTTTTGTCGTAAATGGGTCCCCACGATTTGACCCGAAGGTCAAAACAGTAATACACTGTTTTCTCCGCGTGGTCGTCTATAATGATTGAGACAAATCTGTCTACACCTATTTATTGCATTTCTTGCCCCTTCTACTTCTTTGTTTTTCCTTTTTTAGTCTCTCAATTCAAGTCATTCTCTATTTTTTGCATTTCTACTTTTATAGAGTGATAGTGTAAAAATATTTAAATATATAAGTCATTTATAAAGTAATTGTAAGTAAATTTTTATAATAAATACTCCCTCCGTTTCAATTTATGTGAACCTATTTCCTTTTTAGTCCGTGCCAAAAAGAATAATCCCTTTCCTTATTTAGAAACAATTTACCTTTACACAATGATTTATTGCCACACAAAATATATGTGCCTCATTTTACACCACAAGATCAAAAGTCTTCTCTCTTTTCTTAAACTTCATGCCCGGTTAAATGGGTTCACATAACTTGAAATGGAGGAAGTATTAATTGATGACCTAATAAATTAAACTACATTGATAATGTAAATTTTCTGTATATTCAGTGTATATAACTTAAATCCTTTAAATTATGTACAAATGAAACTATTAAAATCAATAGAAATTAACTACAAAATAAATCTAGAACATGATTAAGAATAAAAAAGGTCCCTTGTAAAATTAACTAAGATTGTTATTGTTGTCGTTAATTAAGAATTGAAAAACCTATCAAACAGTTTGCCAGCTTCTGATTTAATATTCAAGTTAATGCAATATAAACATGGCAAAAGATAATCATACTACAAACCTCAATTTTTATTTTATTATTTTATTTTTTTATACTTAAGGTTCAATATTCAAGATTCGTATTCGACAGTAAAAGTAATTCTTTTATACTTATTATTAGATGTGCGGATCTAGCATGTAATATATGTGATCATGTGATTGCATCTACAGATAAAAATTATTAACTTTTGCTCAAATTATGTATATGTGTTAAAAAAATTATTAAATAACAATAAATATTTGCCAGCAAATTCAGTTATTATTATATTAATTTGGGATATTATAGAAATCCATAAAATTCAAATCACGAATATACTTTACTTCGATGACCTAAATAAGGCGTCTGTCAACTATAATTTGTTTAGAGTCAATTTTGAATTCAAAACTTAAAATGCCTTCCATCATTTGAAAATTATAGTCATATTTTGTAATAGTCAATTTTGGATTCAAAACTTAAAATGTCTTCCATCAAACAAAGATAAAAAAAAAAGAAAAGAAAAAGGATAACAAAGCATTCCGTGTTCACATAGGGTTCGGGGAAGGGTCACACTTCAAACAGTGTAATGTACACAGCTTATTCTAATGCAAATAGTGTATTAGTGATTGTTTTTATGGTTACACAAATAACTTTACCGTTGTTCCAAGGCTCCCTTTTCCATCAAACAAAGATATCTTTCCTTTAATACGATGCATGGTTATATGGGTATCAATTTGAGCCCAAATACATTTGATCCATCCAAACCGCCTAAGTTTTGACTGTTATCGACCCGCTTATTTGTTGAACTCAACTCATCTTGATCTAACCCATCTAAAATCAGGTTGATTTTTAGCCTAAGTTGATCTATAAGTAACTTTGCTAAAATATATTAAAAATATTTTTTTTTGGTTTTACATGTTATGTATAACCATAAAAAAGAAAGAAAAAATTTTATTTGATAATTAAACAATTCATAAAAAAATAATACTCATTAATTAAAACTTGTTAAGAGTTGAACGGGTTGAACTATGATCCAAATTTTAATCCAACTTAACCCCGCTCATCTCAGCCCAAGTTAATTTTAGGCGGATTATTGGCCTGCCCGTCAATGACCCGCGCCCATTTATTGACTCAATCAATTTCAACCCATCCAAAATCAGTCAAAACCCGCTATTTGACACCCCTACATGACTAAGAAGTGTATATACTGATATTTCTGCTCTTTTGAGTAATGAGAGCTCGTTTCAAGATTATTGTCAAAACATTAAAGTACAAACTTGATGATATTGGACCAGTTGTTTTCACTTGACAAAATAAATTTTCTTCTCTTTGACTCGTTTGACAAAGGTAGTACAGTATAAAAAAGGAAAACAACAAAGTAAATGATTTTACACTTTTCAAAAATTGGAATTTAAAGATTTGAAAACAAAAGGAAAAGTGTGTTAGTAGTAGTTAGTACCATAAAATCAAACAAATTAAATGAGGGCTGGTGGAAAGAGAGAACAATAAATAGGAATAAGTTGGGGGCTACAAATGCAAAAATATAATAAATGTGGCCATAAATTTCACTCGTTTTTTTCTCCACTTTTTCTTACAAAATTTTCCACTTTCTTGCATGTGGACTCATAGTCTCCACTGCAGCTTCCTCTTCTCTTCCTTTTCTTCCCTTTTTTTCAACACCCCCCTTCCCACCCCCAACAAAACACTAAAGAAGAACTCCCTCGTGATTTGTGCTTATTTTCAGTAATCCTATAATTTTCTTCTCAGATAATCGGTGAGTTTTCAGCTTTCTTGATTTCTTATTGTGGGTTGCATTTTTTGTGTTAAAAATTGAATCTTTTTGTAGTTTTCTTTCTCATTTTGAAGGTTTTTGAGTTTAATACTTGTTTGTTTTTGTGATATATTTTTTTTTGGGGTTGCCTTTTTTGTGTAAAAAATGGATTTTTTTGTAGTTTCTTTTCTAATTTTGAAGGGTTTTGACTAGTTTAAACTTGTTTGTTTTGGAAAGTAGCTTCCTTTTTTTCTTTTTCTTTTCCCTTTTTGGGTTTGAGATTTCTGTGTCAAAAATGGAGTCTTTTTTAGTTTATTTCTGATTTTGAAGAATTTTGAGTTTATAGCTCTATATGGATTTTTTTGTAAAGTAATTTCCTTTTTTGGTTCTTGTTTTCTCTTTTTATTTTTCTTGTTGTAATTGGATTTTACTTGATGTTTGTCTTTTGGGATGTTGTAAAATGTTTCTCTTCATGTTTTTTTTTTCCTTTTTTAAAAAAGGAGCTTGATTTGGGTTCCGTTTGAATATACTTATGGAATAATTTTTGGTTTAACGGATAGTGATTAAAGTTGCATAGATTATGGAAAAGAAGAAGAAAAGGAAATAAAAGATTTACCTTTTCTTTGCATACCAAGTTAAAAGGTAAAGACTTTAAAATGGAAAATGAAATCTTGGAGTAGAAAGTAAAAGATTTATGCTTAGCTGCACCTAAAAGTCTAGGTATTTGTCGTTTAAATACTTCCTTTTGATTGCTATTTTCTTCAAAATTTTCAGAAACTATTAGTTATGGATCCAACATAGTGTTTAAAGTAGTTAGATTTTTCATTGTGTCATTTTAATTCACATGCTGTTCTAACTTCTTTGTTTGTTGTATTGTTTATTATCCAGAATTAAGTTGCTGGGGAATTTGATTTTCAGATCATTCTTGAAGATTCGCTTTTGATACGAGAGATGGTTGCTGAATCTTGGTTTCGCAATTTCTGGAAAAATTCTAAAAAGTATGAGGGTGGTGGTCATCAAAAGGTGCTAGTAGGCGTTCTAGCATTTGAAGTGGCAAGCTTAATGTCTAAACTGGTTCATGTATGGCAGTCTCTGAGTGATAAGCAGGTGGCTAGATTGAGGGATGAGGCAATGAACTCGGTTGGTATCAAAAAGCTAGTTTCCGAAGATGATTCCTATATCGCAAGGTTGATGTGTACAGAGTTGGTTGAAAACTTAGTACATGTCGCAATTGCTGTTTCTAGGCTTGCCAAAAAATGCAACGACCCTTTCTTGAAGAGTTTCGAGCAAGCCTTTAATGATCTGCTAAAAGTTGGTGCTGATCCGTACGGGTGGCAACTTTCGTGGAAGAAGATGGATAGGAAAGTTAAAAAGATGGAACGATTTATTGTGATTAATGCAAATTTATATCAAGAAATGGAGAATCTTTCTGATCTTGAACAGACATTGAGGAGATTGAAGGGAAATGATGATGCAGATAGCATTACTCTGGTTGAATACGAGAAGAAGCTTGCGTGGAAGCAGCAGGAGGTGAAGCATCTTAAGGATGTTTCTATTTGGAATAGAACCTATGATTATACAGTCCGTCTTCTGGCAAGATCCCTATTTACTATATTTAGTAGGATCGGGCATGTGTTTGGAGTTGATCCTGCGGATGAGAGGGCTAAAGCATCAAGAGAACTAGATTCTGATCAAATCCATCGTAGCCACTCAGTTGCTTATGCCCAATCAACTGTTCACCCGTCTGAAACAGGCTTGACTAGATTTTCCTCAGAACCAGTAGAAAATATCCTTTCCAAATCTGGCCCAATCTCAAGCACAAGAAACGTTAACAATTCTTATTCAGGTCCCTTGAAAAGTTCAACTGCAACAGGAAGCCCGGTCCCTGGAAGACATTCTTCTGTTGGCTTCTATTCGGGTCCTCTGGGAAGGTCAACAACAAAATCTGGGCCGCTCCCTCTATTCAATAAATCCGGCATGAGGTGGTGGAAATCTCGTGATCGTTCAGGAAATTTACACGGAAAAGGTCCAAATCAAAAGCATTCTCGACCGACCTCTACAGGTCCTCTAAAAGGCCGCATGATGATCGGGAACGGTTCTCCTGTAGGTAATTGCTATCTAGATCCACAAGGATTTCATTCTGGTTTTCTCAGTGCAACGAAAGGAGCTAATGTAAATGGACATGTTGATGGCTATTCAACTTGCTCTTATCTGACAAGTTATAATGCGAAAAAAAGGTTGTTAAACGCTCCTCCGGAAACTCTTGGAGCTGCTGCCTTAGCACTGCATTATGCAAATGTCATTATCGTGATTGAGAAACTAGTGGCATCTCCTCACTTGATTGGACATGATGCAAGAGAGGACCTGTACAACATGCTACCGGCTAGTTTAAGAGGAGCCCTCAGGTCGAAACTAAAGCCATTTGCCAAGAGCTTGACGTCATCAGTTTATGATACGGTTCTTGCTGGAGAATGGAATGAAGCAATGCTGGGGATTCTAGAATGGCTCGCTCCGCTTGCTCATAACATGATAAGATGGCAATCTGAGCGGAGCTTTGAGCATCAGAACTTTGTTTCAAGAACGAATGTGCTGCTCGTACAAACCCTTTATTATGCAAATCAAGAAAAGACAGAATCAGCAATTACAGAGCTGCTCGTCGGTCTGAACTACATATGGAGGTACGGAAGGGAAGTGAATGCAAAAGCAATCGAGGAATGTGCAAGTGCTAGAATGATGTTTAATGATGATTACTTGGATGAGTGATTTTGGCTTTGAATGGTTGGAGTTTAGAAACCGGTCCATGGCAAAATGCTTCTCTTCAGAAGCAAATCAGAAGATGTCTCCGCCTGGTTTTTCTCAGTTGCTGCTGATTCGAGCTACTCTGGCGATCATATTCCATGAGATTCTTTATTCGTTAAAAGGGTGACGAGTACTGCAGGAATGTAACTTTAAGCTTCTGAACATTCTTTCAGGTCAGTAAGCGATGACCAATTTTCTATTTTGCCAGGAAAACTTGGATCTCATTCGATATATCAGAGTCCACGCTATAAATTAAATGTCTTGTTATTTGATAAATGTATAGAATTAGCTGAGGTTGTTTCTAGCTTTGTAAATTTACATGGCAAAGGCCTTTCCCTTAATATATAAACAATGAAGGTTTGGCGCTTAGTTTGTTCGTGATTGAACTTTTATTGGATGTACTTTCCAATATTATGAAGCATGAGACTTTCAGAATTAGTTAAGCTGAATCTGGGCTTTTGCTTGCATGTTTTTGCTTATTAGAATGTATCTTTGCTTTATCCTTGTGAAGAAAGAATGAACGGCAGCACCAATAGGTGTGGCTTAACCGCCATGGCGCCATTGAAGTGGGTGAAAATCATGAGATGCAGGAATGTAACTTTAAGCTTCTGAACATTCTTTCAGGTCAGTAAGCGATGACCATTTTTCTATTTTGCCAGGAAAACTTGGATCTCATTCGATATATCAGAGTCCACGCTATAAATTAAATGTCTTGTTATTTGATAAATGTATAGAATTAGCTGAGGTTGTTTCTAGCTTTGTAAATTTACATGGCAAAGGCCTTTCCCTTAATATATAAACAATGAAGGTTTGGCGCTTAGTTTGTTCGTGATTGAACTTTTATTGGATGTACTTTCCAATATTATGAAGCATGAGACTTTCAGAATTAGTTAAGCTGAATCTGGGCTTTTGCTTGCATGTTTTTGCTTATTAGAATGTATCTTTGCTTTATCCTTGTGAAGAAAGAATGAACGGCAGCACCAATAGGTGTGGCTTAACCGCCATGGCGCCATTGAAGTGGGTGAAAATCATGAGACCAGATTTAAATTTCAGTGGAGACAAAATGCCAGGTGATCTTTTCAATCTGCCGAAGTCTCGGCGCTGGAGTTATTCAATACTTGCAGCAAGTAAAGAAGGCAGCTCGGTACACAAGGCATCCCGCGATCGATCACGCAGGATCTGGGTAAGGGCTGCACCCCCAAGGGAGGTGATGTAGACAACCTATCCTAATGCAAACATTAGAGTTGCAATCTATGCACAAGGCATCCCGTGTTCACGTTGGGTCTAGAGAAGGGTCGCATCCCAAGGGGTGTGATGTAGACAACCTACCTAATGCAAGCATTTGTGGCTGCCACGACTCGATCTTTTGATCTATAGGTTACATGGAGACAACTTCATCGTTGCTCCAAGGCTCTCCTTCAGTACCGACAACGTGTATTCAATAAAATAGTTGAGTTGTACGCGAACTACCGACAACATGTATTCAATAAAATAGTTGAGTTGTACGCGAACTGTATTAAAACCAGTCTTATTTTTTTAAAAAGAAAGTATCTTCAAGATTTTATCATTCTTGTTATTTTGGAAAGAAATAAAGTTATGGGGTTATATTAAATGTTTCAACCGTCAAGAATTGCTGGCGCCAACTCTTCATATACAGCTGCAGATTGCTTAAAATATACTATCCTTAAAGCTTTTTTATTCAAAGAATTTGTGTGCCGACCTTGCATTAGCCGACGTCCAGACGGTGGCTTGCCTTTGGTGGTTGGTGCTATTTGGGGATAGAGAAAGAGAAAAATCAAGTTGAAATTTTCTACTGAGAGAGTATAACTAAAATAATCATCCACTCAATGTATATTTAGTGTATACTAGTCTTATGGTACGCGCGTTGCGCGTGTAGCCTATCTAAATGAGTATAAAGTTTTTACAAAATCATATAAACGATATTTAAATTATAAAGTAAGTGTAATTTATTTTTGAAAAAATATTGATTTTATATAACTGACTCAATAAAGAATATCGATTTATACCTTCTTTATCTATGTTTTCTTTTTCTCTTTTAAATGTTTCATTAGATTGAGCTCATATGTTAGATATATCTTTAAGTCTTTGCAAAAGCTTCCAAATTCTAATCTTCAATTTTTGAAGACTTAAAATAAGATCTACAGTTTCATTAGCAGATTTCTAACGTACGTTTATATGCACTTTATCTAAGACATATATGAAAAAAGTCATAATTACTTTATATAATTCAAATAAGCAAAACATTTATAATTAATTTTCTATTTGGTTTTGAATTCCTAATAATTAGGTCTTTCTATACATATGTAGTTCGAATAAGGTAAGATTTAATAACTATAATTTTAGATTATTTTAAAATCCTAAATATTAGGAGAATAACTAAAATACGATTATATCCAATATATAACCTATTTTTAAAGGGTAAAAAAGGCAAACGACATTTCGCTAAAGGCTTTCGTGCTTTTAATATAATATAGATTAGTTGTGATTATAGGTGTTAAACGGGCCGGGTTGACCCGGTTCCGGACCGGCCCGACCCGGTTAAAGGGGGCTAGGCTGGGTAGGAGGGGTAGAGGGGGTTGGTCCGTTTAGAATTTTAAAATGGGTAACCGGACCAGTTGAACCCGGTCCAATGAACAATTACCCTTGTCGGGTTAACCAGCCCGGCCCGGTACAACAGCTAGAATTTTTTTTTGTTTTTTTTTAATTTTCGAAATAGGTGGGCCCCACTGACCGTTGGCAACGGTCAGACCAATTCTTGGTCCGTTGGCCAACGGAAAAATTGCACAAATAGCGTTTTTTTTTTAATTTTTAACCCATTTTCAATTTACAAAACTAACCTTCTCTAAAACTATAAATACTCCCCCCCCCCCTCTTCTTCATTTCTTCACTCAATACTCATTTCTCAATCTCAATTTCTCTCGTTCTCTCATTCTCCAATTTGCAAGACTTCAAGTCTTCAATTCATCTTCTAATTTTATTTGGCTCTCTTTTCTTCAATTTAATTTATCGTGTTTTATCATTCGAAATTTGAAGTTTGAACAATTGAAGTTCAAAATTGAAATACTTGTTTGACGTTTGTTCGTGGTAACATCAGAATTGCGTAATCAAGTGCTCAATTTATTGTCGAATTTGGTGCACTCCCTCCAACTCTTTCTTTTATTTACTATTTTAATTGAATATTTAATTTTAGCTTATACTTTAATTTTTTACAATATGTTTAATGCTGCTAAAAGAGCGTGTAAAAGAGTTACTGGTAGGGGAAATAAAAAAAGAGGCAGTCCTTCAGCATCTGGTAATAATAGTAATAACCCATTATCATTTTCACATGTTTCCGAAACATCGCCTAATGATAATATAGATATAGATTATGAACAATTACAAGAAGATTTTGGAATAGAAGATAATGAAATAGGAATGGAAGATGAGACACCAGCTACACCTACTAATGCTGGAGCTGGTAGTGTTGGAGTTTCTACAAGGGGTAGTGGTCGTGGCACTAGTAGTAGACCACCTGTGGCTCCGACTACTAATCGTAGAAAAAGAAGTA